GACCGGGTAAAAACCGTTGTGATTGACAACTGCAGGTCACGCCTACAGCGCGTGAAAAGGTCTACATGTATGTACACTGTACAACAGCTGGCCAGATAGACATCGAATTGGAGAATTATACGCATAATGACCAATATTAAATACAAGGATAGTAATTATGTTTCTTTTGATAAACATTCCTACAGAAGGTATGATAACCTTCGATATTGGGTTTCAGGAAATGCCTTTTATCTTATCGAGAAAACTGGAGATTTTGTTTTACCTATAGGTATTTGATTTCTTTGATAAACAAAACGGGGTTTATCGAATCGGACTTTCCCGTTAAATATTTTACACGTTCTCGGAATTCATCTGTATTTTTGTATAACTATTTCGTTTGGGTAAGTGCAAGCTGTGAGTTCCTATCGACATAAGGTCACTGAGCCAAACTGTTACTACGGATTTACGAGTATCTGATTTCTTAGATAGCTGTAAAAAGAGTTTATCCCGTCAAACACAAAGTAAATATCTGCATGATGTACCAGTCAATAACAGGAGCTGTTTGAGACCTTATTAAACCAATTATTGCTTCACCTTTGTTTGACAGATTCCATTTCACTTCCTGTTCGTCGATAGGGTCGAGACACGCCGTGACATTCCCTGGACCTGGATATTTGTATGGCGCTGACTTTTTTTTCAAAATTCCGTTGATTATAGGTAGTGTCGCTAACACCTGAACCGTTTAGTATCATCTGACAAAATTACCGCGGAAAATATCTGTTTTTTATTCAAATTTATGGTTTGTTGTTTGGTGTGGTTTCTAAGCTGCAAGATAGATACAAGTCATAATGACTTACTGCAATCCATGGCGTTATCCGAACTATTTTAAAGATGACATATATTTCTGTACAGTAACTTTATTTCTCCTACAGCCACTACAGGTATCCTCACGATAAACCAGGGGTGCGTTCGGTAGCGAGAACGTTCGCGATTTTTTGAAAGTTTGCTCAAAAAGTACACAGTTTGAAGCAAACGCTCGCGAACGCTCCGGACCACCCGCGAACACATTTAGGCGGTAACTCACCAGAAAACTGTTATCATACGTACCCAGCTGAAGCCGTACTGAATGGTTGTTAGAGACTTTTACCCTTCAAATTTGAACTTTTATTTCCCTGAGTTGAAGCCAACTTATCCGCCATTTTGGACTCAAAGAATTAAAAAAACAGTCCCAATTCCAAGTCTCGGGATACCCATTCTACAAATATCTGATCATATGTCATAATTGTACCAATGACGCTCCCTTGAAGATTGGTTATTTATTCCTTCGAATTCCAAATTTTGATCAATATATAATGTTAATTCAATTCAATTTTCTATTAGATTCTATCATTTTTGAAATATTAAACATAAATATTGAACAGCTTCAGTCTGAATTCAAATACACAATGAATGTCAACTAAAGGCGATCTGAATACACATATGAAATTCACAATTTTGAGCGCACAAATAGTTAAGTAATGTTATAATTACAATCAAAATTAATCATAGCCTTTTTGGAGCATTCATAAAATTTCTCGAAACTATTTTTTTTCTTTTTGGAGACAGATATTTACCTGAGACAATCTTAAACCTTAAACCAACTAATAAAGTTATAGGTATAAATGCCAAGCTTTAGTCATTGTAAATACCGTGCACGTTTCATTGCTACATATTTTCAATGTTTATTAAAAATGTTTTTTCCCCTGTTCCATCTTCACGACTGCATTTAGATTGACATAACTAAATTATTTTATTTGACAGATCTCGAATCGTTTAGGATAAATAATTTCAGAGTGATTAGTTTTAGTTTGTAACGGATTCGCTGCAGCCGATGATCCGTTACTGCTGTTGAAACAAATCCTGCTATTTGTTATCCTGTTTGTTCACAGGAGTGAACACACCAACGAACGCACCCATATGGTTAGACCGTTATTTTCTTTTAACAGCGTATTACTTTGTATTTCTTGTTTGGTAAGGAAGTTAAATCGTTTGTTTTAATAATACAATTACATGATATGCAGACCAGCCCTAGTTTCTTTCAGACTTAAAATTTAAAATCATACATGAAAGATATTGTAATCCGTGCTCCGTGATTTTCCTGTCTTGAGCCTCCGACATACCCTTTCCTGTTTCCGGTGGAACCGGTTTGTCTGTTTATAAATGTAAAAAAAATGGGTATACAAGGCTCGCCTGAAAGCAGCATCAGATTACTGGGTCCGACCTTATTTCATAAACGAACAACTTTGGATAAGCGAAAAATTGCATCAATTGAAAGTAGTGAGAATATCTTGCAACAGCAAAATGTACTGAAACAGGACTAGTATAATTATGTCAGTACATTTCGCCATAATGCCGTTTTTATCCAAAGGATATGTTCAATATTGATAGGTTTCACATTTACTGTACAGTACTGTAATAAGTAACGAGAGTGTCTCCTTGAATGCAACATCGAACACATCGTGGATGATGTAAGCCTTCGTATACCTCAAACGACGATTTTGTCATCCTAAAATGACCCCTTAAATTCAACAATCGAGTAAAAGGGAACTATTTCTTCAAAATAATTGTCGATTCTTGCGATGTTACTTGATCAGATAACTGCTGCTGATGAATCTGTAAACGATGCAGGGTCCACAGGGTCTTCTGCTAGTTCGTGTACTGTATCAACACATTCAGTATTTCCTCCATATTGACCAGAACGTTCGCCAACAAAAAGCTCGCGTACGTTCTCGCTACCGAACGCACCTCTCCTTGGACTTGATCAATATTTTTGGTACATGTACATGTTACCCACTAGTGTGTAACGCCGTGTGCATGATTTCATTGTCCAGTCTTTTAATTATGACGTCAAATAACAATAAGTTGCGTCGTCATATATAAAATCCTTCTTCTTCTGTAGGAATGAAAGGATTTGGTCCATATTTGGTGTGAAGCATCCTTGCATCCTTGGGTGAAGGAAAACCAATTTAGTATAAACCGTGGGTCTGGTCCCCCAGGGACCTGAAGGGCAGAGCCCAATAGGGGAAACATAGCATATTATTATTTAAAATCCTTCTTCTTCTATAGGAATGAATGAATTTGGTCCATTTTTGGTGTGGAGCATCCTTGGATAATGGGAACCATGGGTAAACGGTGATTATAACCCCCTAGGGGCATAGGGTTGGGGCTCTGTTTAAAGTTTTTTCTCGCTTTATCTCAAGTACTGGATGGATCTTTCTGAAATTTCATATGTACTTACAGCACCTACCATGGAGTGCTATATCTTTACTTCATACCACTTCTTTAAAACATATTCATGTGAGCGATACAGGCCCTCTGGGCCTATTGTTTTAACAGATCCTTTTGAATAAATGATAGTCATAAATACTGAAGTTTTGCCTTTAGCTTTATTTTAGTCAACTTTAAAGGTTACAAGTGTGATATTAATACCAGGTAGGCGTTGCAGGTCCATTGAACCTTTGTTTTAAAGTGTCTGCTTTGCGTTTTATGGATCCAGTCATAGAACTGTGAATTATACATGTATCTTGTAAGTAACAGCCAGACCGACATGTATACGTATTGGCTGTATTGACAAGCATAATGCCCCGGTCACACATTCACGGATCGGACGCCGAATTAACCACGGCTACGGTCCGGCATCATTTGTGGCAATCTGTAGTGGTCCATAGCTGTCCGTAGCTGTCCGTAGATGTCCCTAGCTGTCCCTAGCTGTCCGTAACTGTCCCTAGCAGTCCGTAGCTGTCCGTAGCTGTCCCTAGCTGTCCGTAGCTGTCCCTAGCAGTCCGTAGCGGTCCGTAGCTGTCCCTAGCAGTCCGTAGCTTTCCGTAGCTGTCCCTAGCTGTCCGTAGCTGTCCCTAGCTGTCCCTAGCTGTCCGTAACTGTCCCTAGCTGTCCGTAGCTGTCCGTAGCTGTCCGTCGCTGTCCGTAGCAGTCCCTAGCAGTCCGTAGCTGTCCGTAGCTGACCCTAGCAGTCCGTAGCTGTCCGTAGCTGGCCCTAGCTGTCTGTAGCAGTCCGTAGCTGTCCCTAGCAGTCAGTAGCTGTCCGTAGCTGTCCCTAGCTGTCTGTAGCAGTCCGTAGCTGACCCTAGCAGTCCGTAGCTGTCCGTAGCTGTCCCTAGCCGTCCGTAGCTGTCCCTAGCAGTCCGTAGCTGTCCCTAGCAGTACGTAGCTGTCCGTAGCTGTCCGTAGCTGTCCCTAGCGGTCCGTAGCTGTCCGTAGCTGTCCCTAGCTGTCCCTAGCTGTCCGTAACTGTCCCTAGCAGTCCGTAGCTGTCCGTAGCTGTCCGTAGCTGTCTGTATTGTACATCCCGGGTCAATCGTAGTAGTAATTGTACTCACCACGGATCAGACAACCGTAGTACATCCTTACTGATCCGTAGTAGAAAGTACTAATCCGTTGTAGTCCGTAATAAACCGTAATTATCCTTACTTATTCGTAGTACATCCCCGGCCTGAGGTCGCCAAGGATCGGTACAGTTAGATACGGTGAACTTCGTACTTGTACTAACCCGTACTAAAATAAAATTAAGTTGTGGAATGAACACACGAGCGCGGGAGTTTGTATACGGATTGCTTACCGTGACAGGTCCGTAGCGCTCCGTGCGAGTTCGAACTAATCCGTGCCAGGCCCATAAATTCGTGCTAACCCGTACTAAAATCGTAGCGATCCATTGTTAATCCGCAGTGCATAATGCCGTGACGCTTGTCATTCAGTACTAAACCGTAACAAACTGAAGTTACTAGCCCATATCCGTAGTCAAGCCGTGGTGCATCCGTAGCGGACCACGGATATACATGTAGACTATTCCGGAGTCATCCGTGGGTTTCCATCCGTAGTGGACCCGGCGAGACGATCCGTTAATGTGTGTAATTGTGTGGGGCATTACACTAATCGTTTGAGTCAAAACAAATGTTATCTGATTGACAATTTTGGCCCAAAGGACTTATGTGATAAATAACAAAAAAACAACTATTTTCAAATGATCTTTTTAATAGACTAGCATTGTTCACTTTCTTCATGTCCGAGACAGAAATCGCCCATGAACGTCATTGAGCGCCAACTGGGGAGACAATTAAGTCCCGTTCATTTGTACCAGACCAACCACACAGGACAAGAATCGCAGTATATAATAGCATGATGTATGCTACACGTACATTACACGTGTTCCAGCTCATTTTGGAATATCATGTAACATATGACATATGATGCACGTACATTACACGTGTTCCAGCTCATGTTGGAATATCATGTTACATATGACATATGATGCACGTACATTACACGCGTTCCAGCTCATGTTGGAATATCATGTAACATATGACATATGATGCACGTACATTACACGTGGTTTATCGTAACACGTGATATACGGTACACGTAAAGTACACTTGTTCCAGTGTAACACATGATATATGATGCACGTACATTACACGTGTAAACCTAACACGTCGTACATAAATATGATACACTTAAATTAACGATAAATTGCACATTTTGGAATGATTTAAGATTAATAAGACATTTCATGACTTTCAAATTTATTACTGAACAGATCAGTTATATCATTCACTTATATGACCAATCAATTGAAAGTTCAGAAACAGTTACCATAGCTACAGTTATACCCAATGTAACAGTACCCAAAACATATCGTCATATACAACAGTAAAAGACAATATTCAAATGTAAAATTATTGTTAAATATTAACAGGTAAGTGTATATGTAACCGATCAGCGTTCATAACGTCATTAACACGGAAACAGAAAAATGCCATTCAATACAATGTATACGTTCTAACGTTGACCTTAATGATGATATAAATATAAGCATTTCCAAAATGCGAGATTAACATTTCTCTAAGGTTTCTAGACCAATTTCAATTACAAAAAAAATCAAGCATTTTAAAGCTTCGCGTGAAGAAACAGTCCCAAATTTTTCTGAAATACAACATTATTTACAAGAAAACCCTCTTTATTAATATCTGTCGTAACTCTACATTTATCTACAAGTGTACTCTCTGAAAATTACTTTATTTCTTAATCCTAACCAGGAAAATCTTGATTAGTTCCACCAAAACAGGGTCAACATCTGACATCGCCTCAAGTATAAACACTTTTGATACGCTGACAATTTTTAAGATTACGTTAAAAGTTAAAACATATTTTTTCTGCTCTTTTCAAACATGTTCCTGTCTTGAATTTGTACGTTAGTAAAACGTTAGTGGTTGTCTTGGATGTGGAAACTCTACTCTGTGGTGTAGAATAGGTCTTGGTTGTCAACCAAATTCTAAATCCCAGGATAGATTTACCATATCCACATACCTACAAAAAGTATACACAGAAACAGTAAAATCGATATTCATAAAATTTCAAAAAAAAATCCATCAACAACGTAGTTATACTATGTCCTACCTGTTTATACCAGTGACGAGCCCACTGGTATCCAATACTATGTCCTTCCTGTTTATACCAGTGACGAGCCCGCTGGTATCCAATACTATGTCCTACCTGTTGATACCAGTGACGAGCCCACTGGTATCCAATACTATGTCCTACCTGTTTATACCAGTGACGAGCCCGATGGTATCCAATACTATGTCCTACCTGTTGATACCAGTGATGAGCCCGCTGGTATCCAATACTATGTCCTACCTGTTGATACCAGTGACGAGCCCGCTGGTATCCAATACTTACGGTACCTTCAGTCTTTAGCCTAGGCGTACGATAAACCACATGTCGACTGTTAAACGGCTTTGGTCAGCCTGCTGTGATCTAGACAATTTTTGGCACCATCGGTGTCACCCTGCTCTTCTTTACAACGTTTTAGTTTTAATGATGTTTTCTTTATCCTGAAGTATAAACATTGTCCGACTTTGTGTATTAGACGCCAACAGCGCAAAACCAATAAACAGCTGCCAGAGGAAAGTAATATGAAGTCCAGCCGAGTTTAGCAAATAATACATGTATCATAATTGCACTTATGAGTATGAAATATCAATATATCGGCCTCCCTAAATCTAGCCCTGTAGAAAGCTGTCTTATCAGACCATCAACAAAAGGCCCCATTGTATGATTTGAATGAGAAATAAGCATGTTAAATACGAAAACCTGTCAATTCCGACCTTATAAATCGAGCCCGGTGTTGTTCGGTTTAGACAGTATTTGTCGAAGCTGTCTCAATCCAATCATAACTTACTGGTACTGACGTAAACGTAGCCACGAATAATCATACTTTTACAGAGGTAGATACTGTTTAGGTTTTCAGCGACTGAATAGCAGTTTATGAGGATTTCAACGAGGAATTTTCCCTAGGAACATATCAATAAATATACTAACTCAACAATAGTACATTACCTTTAAAGCTACATATGAAAATTAACTTAACTTTGCGTAATATATTAATTACCACAAGCAGACATAAGCAGGACGGCCACACACTTAGACAGAACTTTCAAAGCGTCATATAATATATTTCTCCGTCTGAATTCTTTCGCTATCAGCATTTAGCCTTTCCTCGAGTCTATTTGAGCGTAGAGTATCCTCCATGATACAGTTACCTTCAGCTTCCGGTTCGTTTTCATTTTCAAACGAACACAATCGAGTTTTTTCTCCATCTAACAAACACAGATTTGATTTTTCTCTCTCTTGGGAACAGAGCTTTGAGTTTTCTCCATTTTGGACAAGAATACAATGTGTTGGACTTTTCCGATTTTCTGAACATTTAGAAGCCCGACTAGGGGAGTTGGAATCCAGACACTCGACCAGAGTTACCTTTCGGATCGTCACTTCCGGTGAAAACTGCTTTCTGCTGCTGCTTCGTAGTGAAGTTTGTTTTAGTTTTTGCGAGGTATCATTACATAATTGTTTGCTGAAGGTATAACACCTGAAGAACAACTCCTTCCGGAACAGAAGGTAAACCCAGGGGTCAAGGATTTGGTTAAACGAGGCTAGTCTGATCACCAAAAGGTCATCCTTCTCTGTCCCAAGATGTCCAGCTACCTGAATGACCAATATCCTCACCTGCAGGTAAAAGATAATACAGATATATTAGAATGCATTATAGTTGTTTCTGTACTGGTCTAGACAATTTCAATTCGCTTAAAATGGAAGAAGAAGAAGAATTTTCCGGACTACTGCTATTCTTTCAGGATGAATAGTGTTCCCACCAAAACTGTTTACTCACAGTACTATCATGTAACTTTAGGCCGTTCATTCTAAACAGTTTATTTTGTAACAATTCGATTGCTGATGATACTTCCTCACTCCTTACACATATGGGCATCAAAAAACATTTGAACCTAACGAAAAGGATTGTTTACATAAACTTCCTTATTTAACACCTAAGATATTACTCAACTTTATCGCTAAATATTTTAATAAAGGCGGCGGTTTTGCGTAAGAATGATAACGCTGGTCATTGTTGTTTATTTTCCCCCTGGCGCTTTGGTCTTGTACATACAGTGTTCGTTTGGGTAAAAATGTTTCCTACTTTGGGAAAATCTTATATCTGGAAAAATCAGAATAATATATTTTGTTAGTGTTGTTGATAGCTGACTGCAATTAAATTAGTTTTCTTTATAATGAATATCTACTGATAAAATACCACGTGGGTTTTCTCTGGGTACTCCGGTTTTCTCCCACATTTCGACATCGCGCGCTAACATCTGGGTCAACTAGAGTGGTTAACATAAATTGATATAACTTGTTTCATAATTGTTGTAAAATAAATAAAGTTGATATTTTATTAATTAAATATCATCAATAATATTTATATTTAGGAAGTACGCAAAACTTCTGTAATATTGTCATTAGATAACACCTTATTCACGGGGTACTAATTGCTGTTTCATAAGATTTCGTTTTAGAAATAAGTGGCATTCCTTACATCAGATCAATTTTTACAATTTACAAGTAAGAACAGGAATTGCACGGTAGGTTCATAGTTTGAACACTTACTTCTTTCAAAACAACTTCCGCAATACGAAATTTCATGAGAAACGAAACACTACGGGAAAATAGGCTGTCTCTAAATGAAAGCGCCCTGATTTCAAACCTTTCAGGCAAGTTAGCATGCTTAATGGTCCACTGTTTAAGATAGTTCTGAATATTTTTTTGCAATCCATTCAACATCAGGTCGACTTATTAAAAAACCTTCAAGCGGATTTTTAAGGAAAATGTACTGAACACATCAGCATGACACTTTACGATAACATAAAACTGACAAACATAATACTGACAAACATAATACTGACAACCAACCATACAGTGTATAGTGTCTAGGGGGACAACGCCGTGAAAAGGTTTTTTTCACATAACGTAATATATAGCGATATAAATAAAATGTACAGTCTTATAATTAATGGTGGCCGTTTCCCACGTGCACGGAGATAGGAGCTGTATACGAGCTCCACTATGATATAGACTTGTTACGGATTCGTTTCTTAAACATGTTATCCAGTTTTTTATGTATTTATCTAGGGGAATACATTTTCTTAGCGATAACATCAAGATGATTCGCTGATAACTTTTGGGGATTATCTGTCTCTCGTGTATTTACTTGCGCGCGGTTTTCAATCCTGCTTGCAACAGATAAATGCTTGTCTGCAGTGTTTGTAGTGTTGCTATTTTCTGTTTTATATGCATCAATCATTTAGATGTGTTTCAATTTTATTTCTTCACCCCTTATTATTGTATTTTTCAGTAAAGATTGACGGTCGTACAGTACATTTTAGATTAAAAAAGTTAATTATTTCTCCGGATCACCGCTGCTAGTATAAGGAAATGTCTAGTAACCATTCTCGTTAACCATCATGGTATGGAGATAGGATGTACCTTTAATTAATGAGAACGTTCCAATGATTTTACATTTCCAATTTTTTTTCTGTAAGCCTTACCAGATGGAATTTCGCTTATAGGACCATGCACGCAATTTGATTAGGCTGATTTTAAAGCTTCTTCTCCCGCCACGATTAACGTCAGATATCGTTACAAACAAACATTTTGGTGACTTTAGTCTGTTCCAGGAATCTCGTTTGCACTATCGAGACAGACATATCAATATCGAATGTAGAAGGGAGGGAAACCTATCTCGCATCCGAACCAGGTACAATTTTATATTGACATAGGTAAATAGCATCCAGATAGAAGAATAATACTCTTGTAAGATAAATGTAAACCAGCTTGTTTTCCCACCCCTTTGGCAATATACGGTGCATGCTCGTTGTGGTGTGTTGAATATAAATACGGTTAAAACTGAACACGCCGCTACATAGAAGTTTCCCCGATCGTAAACCACTCCGGCCTGTTCGGCACGAACCGAGTTTTTTTTCAATATTTGCAGGAAATGTCCATATGGTTTCTGATTGCAAGTTTTCATTAAAATGTCAATACTGACTGAGTTTTATGTATAGCCAGCAGACCCAAAGAAATGGATGACTTGTACAAATGATTCACAAATGTGTTTGGTAATGCTATCTAAACGGTAAAACCAACGGAATTAACAAATATAATTTCATAATTTACACAAAATACACGAAGAATATATCAACGAATTTTCAATGTTTCTTGTTCGGTGAAATTCAAGACGAATAACGGTATTGCTGTAAAAATTCTCCTCAGTAAATATTGAAACCAAACATGCCTTACATTAATACGGCTATATTAACTTAATATTTATAATAGAATGAGTGGTGAAACAAACCATGGAACAAAATGGCGGACATAGCGATGAAATTATATGTACTGAGTTTTTAAAATGCGTTTAACATCATTATGGCAATTCATTGATTATTATACGTATGACTAATTAATCGTACATTCAATAATTATATCCATTACATGCTAAAAACATAAAATGTATAAGTGAACTTCATATTTCACAAATGGCTGATTTTCATACGGAACATTTATTTTGTCAGCATACATGATGTATCAAATTTGGCAGGGACTGGGAGTGCAGGGACTGGCGGTGCAGGATCTTGCAAGGGGAGAGTACCGTAAGGATTTTACAGTAAACGAGTCTACGGCCGCTTCATGACGTCTAGCCAAACCTTCATCTATAAGGACATATTCTACAGCCTGGTCAATCAATTATAGGTGTCCAAATCAATATGATACATATTCTGCTCGTGAGACGATTTTTGTAACATTTGTGCGCTTCGATGAAATAGGCACAACTCTTGCAAAGTTCTCTTAACCTTTCCTTTTCGGTCGGTACAGAGATATCTACAATGTACCTGACTAGTACTACAGCTGACGTATAGGATAATTTTCACAGAAATTAATAACTAGCTTGAATTATTAGCACTTGCGCAATATAAGTTATCGTATTTTGACTTGTATTTTTTAGCAGTATTACATATGAAGTCAGTTTTCAGAAAAAAAGGAAACAATGTCGTCAGATTTGCAAAGTCAAGTTTGAAAATCTTTTCAGTTTGAACATTTTCGCTACTCGTAAAAGACTGCAGTTTGTAATGTCTTCGGTTTGTAAATTTTCGCAGAGTTCGCGAAGTACACACTCATAGAGTTCTCAAAGTACACACTCACAGAGTTCGCAGAGTACACACTCACATATTTCGCAGAGTACACAATCACAGAGTTTGCAAAGTACACACTCACAGAGTTCGCAAAGTACACACTCACAGAGTTCGCAGAGTACACACTCACATATTTCGCAGAGTACACAATCACAGAGTTCGCAAAGTACACACTTACAGAATTCGCAAAGTACACAATCACAGAGTTCGCAAAGTACACACTCACAGAGTTCGCAAAGAACACACTCACAGCGTTCGCGAAGTACACAATCACAGAGTTTGCAAAGGACAAACTCACAGAGTTCGCGAAGTACACACTCACAGATTTCGCAAAGAACACACTCACAGAGTTCGCCAAGTACACACTCACAGAGTTCGAAAAGTACACACTCACAGTATTCGCAAAGAACACACTCACAGAGTTCGCAAAGTACACACTCACAGAGTTTGCAAAGGACACACTCACAGAGTTCGCGAAGTACACAATCACAGAGTTCCCAAAGTACACACCCACATATTTCGCAAAGTACACACTCACAAAGTTCGCAAAGTACACACTCACAGAGTTCGCAAAGTACACACTCATAGAGTTTGCAAAGCCTTTAATGGTATATTTTCACGTGATTTAATTAAGCCTAGTAAGTTCAATTCCTTGGCGTTTGCTAGCCGATTTATCATACATTATTTCAAACGTCATGTAGGATTATCTGTTCCGCGAGCAAAAACTCCCGAGTGATTGACTAATAATAGAGAGCATCGAATTCAATATCAGTTTGAAGGGTCAAGTGTTTTGTTGTGTACAATTAGACACCAATATTGATGGATATGACGATTCCACAAGTAACTATGTAGTACGATCGTGATAGATAATACAGAATTAACTTCCAATTGACGGATGAATCTGCTATAAATTGCTATCTAAATTCAACTTTCATTAACGGTTTATGTTTCCGTGAAAAACATATCAGTGTAGTTATTAGATACAGAATAGAGGGATCTGCACGCGCGTTGTATAGGGAGTGTCCAATCAGAGTCGTACATTGAAAGGATGAACAGACATCAATTTGCGACATCAGTCTAATTCACGACATCAGGCCCACGTAGGGCAAACGACCGGCCGCTTGGGACACAAGGAAAAGTTCCATCATGATTGAATAAAACTACTAGAATGAATAGCTGGAGAGATAAGTTTTAAATTGATACATTGTTACGGTCTGGATAACACGTAAATAATTTATACTCAGACTCAGCGATTTATTTGATTTATATCAATTCTATTGTCAATACGGAATATTAAGTCCGGCATTCGATTTCATCTATTAAACATATATAGTGACGTACTTGTCGCTCTCTACTGTTTGGTTTCGAATTCAATGTTTGGATAAAATGGACCCATTTATAATCAAAATTCATAGGAGAAGCACAGCGGCATCCACATGTTTAACAAATCGATTCGTAACGTTCTACGCCGAACCGTGAAGTATCCATAACGACTCGGGGGTTATCATGTGCCCGGTAGCTGGTATTACATGTATCTGTATACAACGTAATTAATAATGTCAATGGGATTAGTAATGTCAATGGATTGTGTTTTGTAAAGTTAAATCTCTTCTTTAATGAAATAGATGTTTTCTCTGACAGTATTGTATACGTAAGTATATAACAGTGGCCGTTGCAATAATACCAAAGTGGGCGTTTTTACCCCGATGTGAGCGGAAATATCGATAACAATTAAAAATGACCAATATTATCTTAAAAAAGGAAAGATGTCAACAAATATCGGCACATAAAAGCAGTACAACGGGTAAAACGCTTTCACCAACATTTTAAGGTTGATTGTACTCTGGCACGTGGTTGAACTAGGTACTGTGGGAGAGTATTTAGTTAATCAAGCATGTCCCACGGAGCTACTTACAACGTCAAGTTGACACCTGTCGTCGGAGCTGATTACCGTTAATACGGGGTTGTTCTCGACTTTCCGAGGCTGAGTTATAATTAACTTTTATCTATAATGCTATTTCGCGTCCAATCCAGCGTCACCCGCTACAAACCGGAAGCTAATCCACTTCCGGTAGTGTCTATTGCTGTAGATTTATGTCATTTCATTTCTCATTGGATAATGTATGCATGCGTTAATATATGTAGGTGTTAGGTAAGATCTATTCTCGAGCGTAATGGATATATGTGGAATCGGGATGGGTGGTTTTCATCAGACGTCATACCGGCAGACGAAGTTTGAATAACGACTTTATAGGGGAACGCCGTGCTAACGTAATTGTTGTATGTGTCTCGTCGGTATAGTAAATGAAATGTATATTTAGCCGTGTTTATTCTCGTTATGGTACGAAACACTCAGGAAGGAACCTGAGTTAGACTTCACCTGTTACAAACTGCTGTTACTGTTATAAATTAGCCTGAGCCGTGACGGGGATGCATGCTAACACAAACAGGGAGCGCCCTCGTGATCATCCATATTTGAATAAACACGAAGAGCCCTCGGGATAATTATGTTTTCAAAATCATAACGAACCCTCTAATAATTAACGTGTTCACATAAACGTGTTGAGTTCGAGTGATCCTTACTGAACATTGTCTTCACAACGACACGAATAGTCACATGTGGACTGGTATTGCAGACTTTAAAACATAGTGCTTCCGTTTTACGTCCTCGGGCAAAATAAAATGTCCATGATTAATGTCTGCGGTGTAAATGTTCTGTTAGAATGACGAGCAACAGAAATGTGGTGTCTATACAGGTTGGAGCGGAAACATATGTTACCTAACTCTGAAAACAAACTAAATTTCAATACGGGCGACACAATTTGTCATTCTGCATGTACTTTCATTATATACTGCCAATGGGGATGACAAGAACCTGGTGTAGTGAGGCTTTCTTAGCTTAACGTAATCATTAGTAAAATTATCAAATTTGACTTTTTTTTAAACAACCTTCAAAATGTATGAATATTTTTCATAAATGATATGAGGTTGATCCTTTCAAATCCCATGTATTCCTATTTAGTTTGCTAAACCCCATTCCGACCATAAATTTCCATCGACAAAGTTTCGAGTATATTTCGGTAACAACCTATCCCTGATGTGTAAGGTAACAATGCTTCATACAACATACCGTTGCTGTCAGCAATTTTTATTATATTTTTATAGAATTTATTGTTTTGTTATAACAGGTGCGGCGAATTCAGATTTCACATTGTCAACATTATTAAAGATTTGTTGTATTTTATTTCGTTCTGGGATCGAATGTCATATCTGATCATATTAAGCGAGCGAATGCAATGTTCGTGGGGTTTTCATGTAATTGAATACAAAAAATGAATAATTGATGACTGGAAGGTCACAACTACTCAGTCATGTACGACAAAACAAGGGAATCGGGTTACATACATTGTACCAATGAATGGGAACAGGTATGACCTTTCGTTTTAAACTTGACATATGAGGTTAATTTCGATATACGTAAATGAAGCATGACACGAACAGCTACTGAAATAAGTCATATATCTGTTGATTATTTTGATGTTATTTTTTCCGTTTGAAGTCACCAAAATATAAGTAAAATATAAACTGTTTGAAAGATGAACATTACACACACATCGATACAGTAAGCCAAACAATGAACGACACTGCGTCATACAGCTGTTTCGTCAGGCTGCTAGGTCTCATTAGTAATGCTAGTGGCAAAAAAGTCTAAACTACTGTAGATGGTTAAATAAGCAAAACCCGAACAATTTTATTAGGTAAATAAACAAATGTGAGCTACTTTAGTAGAGCAGACCTTCACACCTAGTACTCAGAGTTGTCTTTAATTTTACGTTATTTTTGGAAGAAACGACGTGACATGTTTTGTATACATGATTTTATTTTACGTCGTTTTTATAGTAAACGGCCTATTTCAATTCATGCTGTGGTATTATTTGTTTTCATTTGACTATTGAACTTTTTATAAAAGCTTGCTGTATGACTGGGTACTGAACCGCACATCATAAAATACATTGTATGTGTATTACTTACCATGAGTGGTGCCCAACAGAGTCCGAATACGGCCAGAATGCCTACCAGAAAGATGACCATTTGTATTTCACTGTCTAAGCACTTGATATTGGAGTAGGAGTTTTGGACACTTGTCATTTGACGCATCTTCCATACCGTTGCAATGACAATGAGATTGAGGATAAAGATGGCGAGGATAACCCCAATGCCAATGAAAGAGTACAAATATGCAAACATCTTAACGCGAAGTTCCTTCCCGCGAAAATCAAAGAAACACCACGTGCCTGGGAAATGAAGCACGTTCTCTCCAAGCCCAATCAAAGGAAGACAGGCCAGCGAAAAAGCCGCTCCCCAGAGAGCACCAAGAATGTATTTGACTTTGTGATGAGTTATTTTGGCGCTATAGAAATACGGATGATTCAAGGCAATATATCGGTCCAGTGCCATGAAGCAGACGATAAAAAGTGTCGTAAAGCCCGCGAAAATAAGCATGAATGAGGAATAATTACACAGACTTTGGCCTCCGACCCACTTGAGGTTGTTAGAGTAGATGACGAGAGTGACCGGCGACGTACACATCGTCCCAAACAGGTCGGTCACCGCCAAACCACCAACGAGACGATAAAACACAGTCCGTTTGTGTTCCCTTGAAGAGCGGCCCAGTACCACCAAGGCCAAAACGTTCCCAAACACACCAGCGGCAAACATGACCGCCGGGACGACCAAAGACACCATGGGTCTCGTCAAGGCCGAGTCCAAATCAGTTCCGTTCTCCGCATCCTCATCCGATCCGTTGAGGAACGATCCGTTGAGGATACCATCAGAGGCCGACGACCAGCTGTCCTCCATGTTCAGCTATAAAAAAAAAAAGCTAGGTTAGATTTGGTACTACAACGGTAATTGACACATTATCCTATTATATTTAATCCTGAGTTAATTTCTCTATTACTCTGTCGAGACAGTACCTGTCCAACATACATGTCCACACGAATTAAGCTGTTACTAGATCTATTACTTGACCTATTATCTTGAGATTACGTTGCAGAAGTAAGATTTACCGTCAACGTAATCAAGACGGCGTGTGTTTTTGGAGGAAACGGAGTTCATGTCCGCGGAAGGAGAATTTATTTTATGTGCATATAGGAGGTTTTTAAAAGAAAAATGATACATCTGTCCAATGGTACTAAGCATTTTTCCGTAAATCAACTAGAAATGTTGTTTTTGATGCATGAAAATAAGGTGGGGTCAACATTTCGACATCGAGTGTTTTCCTCCCTTCTTCTGTATATGATCATTGAGGGTGTCATTTTTACCGAAAGTCGATCTAAACCCCTAAAACATGTAAAATTACTCTGAACACCTTAGTTTAGGATGAACTATAGCTGTAACAAATTATCACATCCCTGTGTTCTAGAGGTGACAAACAGGCTTTCCGTAGAGGACGTTAAACTGTTAATGATATTAATGATTATTACATGAATTTGTATGTTGCCTGAGAGAAAACTAGAATTATTATTGCATCAAATATGCAAATATGTGACATAAGCACATCCGAGTGGTCTACACTTCCGGCCAGTGTGTATTGGGATCTGGCCAGTTTGGTATGCAGACGGCTTCAGATGACCGTTACAGATGGTCAGAACTAAGATAACATGCCGTAGGTAATTCACTATCGGAATTCTATACGGTAACCTGTGACTGACCATAGTGACGTATATCTAGAGCATGTAGAGGTCGTCCCGATAATGCTCGTATCGAACCTCCGATCAATTCACGTGTTTAAGTATACAAGTATCACAGATATATTCAACAGAATAAAATATAGCTATAGATCGGCGGATTCCCGGCAAAGTTTTGCTCTTGGTCAAATATAGATATTCCCTGTAATAGATGAGTTTGAATTAAAGTTTTCGAACAGTACTATCAGAAAAAATAAAATAGAACAGATCCAGAATAAGATAATAATCACAACTTAGCACTTCGTGTGAGCCTATTGTAAGTAGCCGTCTTAAAAAACGTTGGGTCAATACTCTTTAGTCTGTCAAGCTACGCATATATAAAAAGTGACATATACAGTTAACAGTTGCGTGTGCATTGACTGAACATATATTGTTGTTTCAGGTACATTTTGTGTTACGTGATTTGAAATAGACTTATGTTGTATATCTACACATAGCGGTTTGAAACATAACAAAACGCATGACGTTGTCTCCTGTAAAGGGGTCCTCGTCGCTCCTTATTTAGCCCATTAAAATCATAAAACAAACAACAATACAGATTTAGGTAAAGGTGTTTTTTTTGTACTTTTTACATAAGTTATAAAGTAAAATTGAAAGAGATGTGCATTCCATACAAGATGGATATGACTAATTTGGTTAAGCAGTAAAGTTTGTGAAAATACTAGTAGAATGACGAAGAGTGTGAGGATACTGGTCATCAACGAATGAAAAAAAGATATTTCCCAATTAAGTTTACATTAGTAATAAACATTCCACAGGTTAATCTTTCAATTTAGTTGCTGTGAATTGCTTTGATATTCGCGAGTTATCTTTTTTAGTTTCCTCTTTCAACGATTTCTTTCTGAGATTTTAGAAAATTAATTTAAAGTCATACATTTCCCTTGTTTCAATGTGCCTGAACAACCATTTGATTCCTTGACCGCGAATAAGTATACCTCGCGAATATTAAGTAATTTATTGTATTCTAACTGTCGATCAAATGGCGTGCTATGATTGTTTTCCTATTAAGATTTCCAGTCTTCCTGTAAATAATCTCCGATCAGCCACATGACGATATCATCGACCAAAATAAGTAAAATTATCCAAAAAAAAATTATGATTACTTTTCAAAGTCCACCAAACTTGTTTAAGATATTCTTCTTCATTTTTGTCCCATTCTATGACAGATATATGAAATGAACTACCTTTTATGAAACATACTAATTTGAAAATCTGAAGAAAAAAATAAGGAAAATCCTTCTATTTCAGGAATTAAAAATGTGTATATTGGTTTCGATGCAACATGTTACTGTTGTTCATCTATAATATAAATATTTGTTCGAAAACCGGGGAAAATAGTTGAAAAAACAAACTTTAAGACATGGAAAGTGTACTGGGTACTGAGTACACCCGTACGTAAGACGTAACATTACACACGAGGTCTGCTACGTAACCTTAACCATATTAAACCCATAAACAATTGACGCTGGAGAGTTATAACACTACAAACCTGTTCAGTGATAAAACCCGGCTCCTAATCCGGCAAAGTGTCCAACAAATCCACTTCAGTCACACAAAAACAGATTACAGACCATGTCAAGTTTTAACCTATCCATGCACGTAATACAAGTTATGATAATATCGGATAGTTGCCATAGGTATACAGTAAGTATACTTTACCCACTGTTCGGTCAAAACTTCCACCAGTTGTTGTGGTAGCTGTATATATAATCATGCTTTGATCACATGATCCATGTTTAGTTTCATAATCAATTTCAATGGTAATGTACATCTCTATACGGCGAGAGCGATCACCGCATAGCTCTACATGGCTGCAGCCACCGCAGCGAGCCTCGCACAGCCGCAATTATTCCCCTCATTCACACTTTAACCTACTGTATATAATGTACATGCTACCGTGCAATGTGTGTATAACGATAACAGCTTTATGAAAACTCGTTGGCGCAAAGCAAATTCGGAAGGTCAAAGGCCTGATTTATTTATATCATTAACTTGTTGAGGTAATTAACTGTAATTAGCACATACAAGATTAATATTAGCCCAGTTGCCAGACAACGATTTCATAAACATGTAACCATTTTCGGATTATCAAAGTTCCAAATTCCGTAAGTCCCGTATTAGATATCACTTATCAATGCTACCTAAGTTATTTCTGCTTTGCCACCCGAATACATTTATAGTCATTCTACAAGCCAGTACTAAACACTACCAGAAGAAATGCATTTCAATTTTCATATTGTTTTTTTTTTTATATATTTTACGGTGAACGCAAAGGAATCAGTGTCATTTAACTCTACTCCTCCCATCCAACATAACGTTAGATCAAACAATAAGAAGATGTGTATGTTTGGCTGTTCCATGAACACCGTAAGCATTGACGATATGGACACGTCCGAACCATAATCCTAGAGAATATAAAACTGACTTTTAAAGCACTAATATATAGAACGTATATATAATAAATCAGAAAAATGATCCTTACGGACGAATAAATATTATATAAAGAAAAATTCTTAACAACGAGTCTTTAGTACTTTCATCTCTTCTGGGAGATTCTTCAGACTCTAATTATATATATATAGTATATACTAACATGAACGGTTAAATCCGAATGCATTGGCTGTGTAAGTTGAGGCAAGATACAAATGTAAAATATAAGAACCAATGGGTTTAAAAGTTGGCCCGATATAAAGATGGTTAGCTTGTCACTCGTTTGAATGGAGTTTTAAGATAAGTGAAAAAGTAATGGTTCATGTATTGCTCAATTCATCACGTTTTTTGTATTCTTTATCAGTTTGTAATGCCTGACCAAAACAATAGCGTGCCTTTTTTTGCCTGTAAAAACGCAACATCGACGGAAACCTACCTGAAACACACACTGCACGTGTAAACAAAATTTGAGAAAAATATAGTAAGGAGTCAGTTCACGATATACACAATGGTGTACCTGAATACCTTTAAACTTGGTAATTAACAGAAATAGAAAATAATTACACAAACAAATATTTCTTATCAAGACTTCATAAATGCTTTTTCAGCAATTAAGTCTTTAATTTATTTTGTTCCCCTTGTGCTGCTATTTATATTCCAATACAGCGGTAAGTGGTTAGGTTTCCGGCCGTGGTGGTCTAACTCTCCTACTCACCAACATATATATTATATATACTTGTCAGTAAATCATTGTGCTGTATTTCAGCCCTGTCATCCGTGTAAGTCCGCCTCTCTTGAGGAAACTTGAAATCCGGTGCTTCGGCAAAATATCCAATAATTCATACAAAGTAAATTATTTAATCCCGAATGTCCATCTCTGTCACTCTCGTGTATAAACCGCTAGGCCTCTGTAGCTGATCACAATACAGCGTAGACAGTGTCTATTTACACACATGTACAATAGACAGATTGAATTGATACAGATCCAGTCTATCGTATTATAATTAATTTTAGGATTTATTTGTTCTGTTTATTAAATATAGATATTAAGTACCAGCATAATAAATGGGATGGGACATATTGTATTGCATTGACAGATTACTTAAGCATTTAACTGTTTTTGTATGGTATTTATGATCTATTTGATCTAGCGCGCATTATGTTGTTTGCTTGCAAAGCTGTGTCATTCGAATAGATCATAAATACCATACAAAAACAGTTCAATACTTATATTTACGTTTTCTCTGCCTCTTATGTTCTTTTTTAACTTATAATTTATATTTAAAATTAAAAATGCCCGCCTTATCGACAGTCCACACAATTTCGTTCAATAGTTTGAACAGCGTATTGTCGCGTGCTGATTGGCAAACAAAGTAGTACTTTGAAATTTTAACAAACACTACAATTTTATTCCACAATTCAGTATCAATACAATTGCGTATGCTATGTCTATAGGGTGATTTAAGTTTATCAATAGAGCTCTGAGCTGAAAGTTAGATTTGAAATTGTTTCGATTTTTCCCCGGAACAAATTTCGCGCATGGACAAATACAGTGACACCGGAAATCCGACCTTGCCTTCTACGAGGGAGTTATTTTTGGAACTTAATTCGAACTTTTCTCTTTGCTCATTTGGTGAAGAATCCAGGCGTGAAGTTTATTTGTTGATTGTATGGGAAGCTGACAAC